ACTGGGGACTTACTACCTTACTCGGATTGTTCTTGTTTGGCTAGTTCCTTCTTTATCTGCTTTCATTATCTTTTTCACATTTTATTTATGGCTCGAGGGTTCTGTAACCCATTTATCCGGGATTTTCTTATCCCCGTATTCGAGAGTGCCCCTAGGGAACAAGTTCCTTCGGCTTCGTCCCCAACCATTCCCTTGAGCAAAAACCCCTTGTCTAGCTCCTAGGTCTTAACCTAGACCGGCATGAGGCGGGACCTAAATATCCCTCACTCCCCATCTCCTCACTCTGGTGGAAACTCCATCAAAGCACCCTGCATCGGCAACACTTTTGTTGCCCCACACAGCATGCGCCCAGCCATCGGCAAGTCACTTGTCGATCGTGTTCCTGAGGTATGCTAGAAGGCTGCCCAATTTCGTTCTGCAAAAGACAAGCAAGTTGCCATTGCTTCTGTGGGTCGCCATAAGGCTACCCTCCACATTTATGTACCATTGGTCTCTATCCCTAGAGGCTCAATACATCAAGGCAGAAACCCCACAGACGCCCTCTCGCCCTCGACTCGGGCCTTCTCATGACTCAATCCTGCTCTGGCCCACTCCTCCTTCATCGAGCAAGCACCTTCAGCCTTGACACTCAAAGATTTTTTTTCAAGAGTACCATCCTGAACTAGCCCCATCACTTTGGTCGTGTCTCTGAAGCTCATAAGAGAGCTCGGGGCATTGACCTGATGAAAGATCGAGTCCTTCACCCTTCCCGGCCCAAGATGACTCCAGTTCTTGGCCCTCATCCATTGCCGCACCTGATGGAGACAACTCTCTCCTGTGCAAGAAGAGCTGACAAGCCGCGACCTAGATCGCAGTTTTAGCGCGAGGTCCATCAAAACCTCAATGTTAGATGTGATAGAGGTCTACAAATTTTGACTAAGGAGGTGACCACGGCAGTCAAAACAACCTAATTCCTTCTAGCCCCTTCAGACGATGAAGCCTGAAGAAGAGCTCCATGAGCCCTGTATTGTGGTTACTGTTGTAGAAGACGACCCAGCCACTCAGCAGCCATGGTCCCAAGACCGTCGAGAACCAGTCCAAATGTGATCAGCATATAAGAGTTGAGTTCAGTCAGGGCATGCTGGCCCCCGGCTGACTGACCTACCACGTACGACCCGTCAAGTTCGCAAGCCCTCAGTTGCCACTAACATTGACATCCATAGAGAAATGGTCAGCGTAATGGTTGTAAGCGAGCCTGGTGATGTGTAGGAAGAGCGCTTGAACAAGTTTGAGGATATGGTGCACGCCATGATGGAAAAGATCGATCGTATCGACACCGCACACCAGTCGGCTAACCATGAGGTCAATTCCCATCACTCTGATGGTGCACCTCCACGGCAGCCCCCTCCTTCTACCTCACAAGACAATTTTGTCTCTCATCCTGTCTCTTAGACAGACATTGACGCTATGGTCACCCATAGCCTAAAGAACAGACAAATCCCGAGGATACAGGGTGCGACGCCTTATCAAAAGCCATACCCCTCCTATATTGATTAGGTCTCGTTTCCCTCAGATTATAAGAAAGGGAAGTTTCCTTTATTCAACGGAACCACGTCCCCAAACCAACATATTGCCCACTTCCAGGCAGCACTTCGAGAAATAACGGCTGATGGAAAACTTCTTCTCCGACAGTTCGTTGAGACCCTCAATGGCCCAGCATTTCAATGGTATGCCCCGACTTCCTCTAAACTCAGCCCATAAATGAGAGGAGATGGAGAAAGTGTTATATCAACGCTTCTATGAGGTCGAGAGAGAAGTTTAAACCATCGAACTTCTCACCCTGACTCAAGACCTCGATGAGCCCGTGGATCAGTTCATATCAAGATGGAGAAACTTGGCTTTCCGGCATCCTAATCCTATGTCTGAGAAGGAAGCAGTCCAAACTTATGTACGAAATATATGACCTGAGATTGCCCTACATATCGAGGCCTCTAATCTGACCTCCATGTCAGAGTTGATCTCTAAATCAGTTCGCATAGAAAGTTTATCACGCCACCATGGTGGGACACGAGAACCATCTACAAGTTCAGCAAACAACTAGAGCAATGGTAACTCTCGTAATAACACATGGGGCAGCCAGCAGAAAGGGGTAATAAGTGCAATCGTCATGGTCGCCGATTCAAAGAAGGCTCCCTCCCAAACTTTGGACCTCTCTAAAGGGGTAAGCACGACAAAGGTAACACCCCAGGTTGGCAAGCAACAAAGTCGTACAAACGGGTACCCCCACCAGCCAACGTTGATCGGGGTGATTATTTCACCAGGCATAGGAACAAGGTCTATCCCTTCGAGAAGGAGTGGGTCCCTGCGCTGTCCGGTTATTATTGGAACATAATATGATCCAGCGTCCAGAAACCAAGTTCCCTGAGCAACATGGCCTGGACACTCAGGCGAATTATTGTGCTTACCATCGGAGGATTAATCATCCCACATATAACTCCTACACGCTGAAGGATATCATCGAGGCTCTGATTCAGAAGGGTCAGATAAAACTTGAAGACTTAAAGAAGGCCTTCGGGGCATTCGAGGCCTCCCATGCCGTAGTTATCCAAGAGGAAGACAAAATGCCTGATATCTTTTACGCCTTCTTCATTATAATGCATCAGGAAGGCATAATCACACTGAAGCAGGCAAGACAATCCCATCGTCTTGCTAAGGGGACTGAAGATCGTTGGTGCCCGTACGATTAGATAAGAGGCCATTACCTGTCAGAATGCACAAGTTTCCTTGACATATTCGCAAAGAAAATACACGAGTGTCAGGAGTTTTATAACCTCCTCGTAAGTGATTCCCAAGTCATTCCTCTATCGGGACAAGAAGATCTCACAAAGCAGGGCCCTCTTATCAATGACTCAGACTCCGCCGAATCCTTGACTTCCCAGCCATGAATAGTCTACCATGGCCGAAGCAGACTCAAGTCCTTAAGGCGACAAGCGGTTCGCCAAGCTAGAGCTGTTCACAAGCCTAGCGAGACGAATCAAGCATCACCTCATAAAACCGGAAAGAGACGGGCACCAAGGGCTACTCGTTGAAGAAACAAGACCGCTCAACCCACAGTCAAGTAGGAATTTCTCAGGCCCCTTCCTCCACTGCCAACTTTATACTTTATCCCTGTCACGATCCTTCTTCCTTCTTCATCCTATCAAGAAAATGTCTTGTGCCATCTCCCACTAAGCATACGTCCAATGAGGGTGACGACATTAAAAGCACTCCCCAACGGTCTAAGCAAGGGAAAGACTTAAAAGACCCCTTGCACCCATCCAACCCTGGTGATGACGTAAAAAGCTGTCCAGATCTGTCTGATGAGGGGAACGACCCCCACTTTCTAACCCTTTTTCTTCTTTTCCTGCTTCTCATTCTCCCTCTTCTACATTCCCTACAAGTACAACCTTGATATGCCCAGACTCCGAGGCTCTTGACCGAGAATTCGAAGGAATCAATATAAGGAGGACGCAGCGGAAACGATTGAGAAAGACCCTGGCACAAGCAGCAGGATTCCTAACAGTTGTTGATGCCCTGTCAGTTAAAGCCAAGGCAGAGCCACCTTCTTCAAAGAAGCACAAGAAGTCGAAGCCAAAGAAACCCCAGTGGCCCCCTGAGCCCGACTTTGAGCATAGATTAAAGGAGCAAAATTTCTACTCTCAAGGAGCTTGCCACATGATACAAGCCAACGCGAGCCAAACGATGCAAATAGCCACTCAAAGACCATGTGATTCGCATTGGCACACTTCTTGCACTATAATAGTTGAATCTCAAATTCCCTATAATCCCCAAGTCGAACTCCTACAGTCCGAGAAACAATCTCTATTCATCGAAGACCCTTCCATTCCTCAATCCGGGGAAGGTGCAGAGTTTATGATTCACTCTAGACCTCTATCGGAAGCAGAAATGTCAGGATCATGCGTCTCTGCGCTTGAGGTCGATCAAAAAGCCTCTGAGAACAAGGAAAAACTGGCATGAAAAGCTTCTTGAAGCACTATAGGCTTATCGTCCTACTACACGAAATGCTACCGATTCCATTCCTTATTATTTGGTCTGTGGGGTGAAGCAGTTTTACCTCTCAAAATACAAATCCCTTCATTGCAAGTCACTATTCACCAAGGAATAATCGAAGATGAGAGAGTTAAGCTCCGATATCAAGAATTTGATGCACTAGATGGAAAGAGGCTAGAAGCTCAACAGAGCATTGTACTCAACCAAGGGAGAATGAAGAGGGCCTTTGACAAGTCTTTCAAGATCTACACATTCACCCGTGATGATTTAATCCTAATCATCAAGAGACCTATTGTTATGCATAGTCGACGTAAAGGGAAGTTTGCGCCTAAGTGGAAAGGTCCCTTTCTAGTAAAAAAAGTCTCACCCAACGGAGCCCACATGCTGGCACCTCCTGAGGAGATAAAGCAATGCCCCCTATCAATGGACGATACCTAACAAAGTACTATCCATAATGTATATTCAAGAAAAAGAGAACACGAAAAGAAGCAAGATAGTCCAAATAAATTCCGACTTTTTTTATTCCAATAAAAACGAGTTACAAGTTAGAAGCTAAAAGAAGCCCATTGTTTAATTCTGGAATGGGCTAATTATGTCCGAAATGGGCTCATTATGTAAAAAAGCACCCTCTCCATAATCCATTTTTTACAAGGATTTTGTGCTTTATTAGTTTGGAATGTATGATCTCGAGCATGTAAAGCATTAATATGTAAAAGGAAACAAATTTTCTTGAAGAAAAATTTTAGACCGTCGTTTTTATTTTGTGGGACTACTACTTCGAGGGTGCAAATGTACAATTGCTTCCCCCAGCGCACAAACCACTTTTCCTTCTGGGATTACCATAAACCCAAAGAACATATTATGATTCACGCTCATCACACATGCATATATGCACACGCTTATGGGCAAGCACCTTGAGATTGCTAACTTTGCAGATTATACTACTTTTTGTTTTTTTTCTGAAAAGGGCATTAATAATCAAAAAGGTAAAATCAATGAATCTTTTATGAGCAACAATAAATCCTCTCTTGCAACGCTTGAAGTCCTCGGGAAGAAAATTTTACAATTTGTACAGAAATTTACAAACAGATCAAATTAAAGGAAACAAACAGAAAGAATTTAAGTCTAAACAGAGGAATGGGCACGGGCACGGGCACGGGCACGCAATTTGTCAGCTACATAAAGAAGGTGACTGATATTTGCAGAGGGATAATTCTGAAGCAATTTGAGGTTAGAAGTGAAATCACCAGCCAGCAAGCGCCTCCTTATGAGGATCAGCATTGCACAGCATATCCGGAGCAACGTTTCCTGCATAAGCACCATATGTTCACACGTCTCCACAACCAATTAACTACACATTACCAAAACTATTCCATGATTTAGGGTTTGCAAGTTTATCTTTGAGGTATACAATGATCCAATTGACCACATGAAATAGGTAATGGCAATCATCACCATCAAATTAATGCGAAAGGTGGAGACAAAGTGGGACCTCATAAACATGACATGAATTCATTTTTGCATCCCACTGTTTATAACAGTCCAATCCATGATTTCAAGCCGATGACCATCATGACCACATATTTCACGTGATCAACTGGATCATGGCATACTTCCCCTTTTTTGGAACGATGATTTGGGTTTTGTGAGTTTTGCAACAAGTACGATGTATGCTATTTCTAGTTAATCTTAGACACCCAAGAAAAAGGTTTTGCAATATGTATGAGAGATAATATCTCTTGTTACATAACTCACTTACCAATGGACCATCAGGGTCGCTCAAAAGAGTGTCCCAAATATGTAGGCTGTCTGCAAAGTTGAACTCTTGAGTCAAGAGCAGTGTTATCCATCTAAATGCATAGAACTGGGGATTAACCTGCAAAAGCCAAACATAGGGCAGCAATCATTTCAGCGTTAAAATAATTATTTGGAGTTTCCTTCAAAGAGAGTCAACACAGTTTTCAGAAGATGCCATTCGAAGAAATTGACTAGTACTACATGGTTTCTGGTACCTAAATGCAGCATAATGTGAATACCGTATTCAAAACCATAACATCTTTTCAGTAACAACAAAGCATCATCTTTCTTTCAGAAACGCGATTTTCATTTAGATGAGAAACAAGGAACAAGCCCAATAATGAATACTGAAGTGTATCCCTGACCACAATTACTTCCCTCGCAAAGAAATTTGCTTATTAGTTTTAGATTAAGACAACATATCAACATATTCTTAGTCCTATAGTATGATAGCACATGAATAATTTTCAAAAGAAACTATCAAGAATGAATGGCAATAAGAACAAAGTACATACTGTCAGAGCTCAAAGCCTACCTGATCTTAATGAGGCTGCACTCGTGTAGCTCTCCTCCATGCACCAAGTTTACCATGTTGCCTATTCTAGTGTGGCTTGAGTCTACTAACTCTTTGATCATACAAGCAAATAGAGGGATAAAAGGAAGCAGATCCAAGTGGCATATAAATATTGTGTATCTGACAAGGATTTCAGAAAATTTCCCTTCATTCATTTTTCATCCCAAGATTGAAGTACTCCACACTAACTTCTACCAAAGGAATTTTTAAAGCTGGTCAAGAGTCTTCTAGAATTCTGTATCCTAGATTTTTGTTTTTTAGGGCTTTGAGATCCTTCCGTATAAAATTTTTAGAGAACCTTCCACATGCCTCTAGAGCTTTCAAAATGCTTAATATAGTGCTAGTATATACATTGCTAGTACAGGGCATTTCAAGGCAGATAATAGTGCTTGTAGGCTCTACTCATTAAAATTTTATCTAATGGTTTAAAGGATATACTCTGACCTGAACCCATAGAGAAAAAGCATAGACCTTAAGTTCATGAAAACTACCGATTTAATAGGTCTAGCATAACATGTCACAATCTCCCCGATCTCATTCAATGGACCCCAGGAAACACTCAAAACCCTGATTCCCATCAAAATCTCGATTCAAAGGTCCATGTGCCAGAATCCACATTGGGTGAAACATGCTCTCTCAATCTCTCATCAGCATAAACCATTGACCCACATTCCGGATCCTCCAATCAAAGAAGGCTTAGCAGGTCATCCATTTCAACAACCACATTGTACCAACTTCATCCTCAAAAACCAGTTCTTAAGATTAGGAAATCATTGTCCAGGTGGATCATCACCATCTCGTAGCTCATTACCATAACAGTTATCAAGCCCAAATGAATCCTGCTGCCATCCTATGCCACAAATCAAATTACTCTACCAGTTTCACCATCCGTCACACTTTGACCATTCAAACTAATCCTCATGGAAAAAAAAATAGGGAGACCTCAGCCCAGGCAGTTTTAGTGATGCTATACAGAATAACTGCCCTGACATGCAAACCACTCTGATTGAGAATACCTAATGCAAAGAGAGCCAATCTCTCCTGGGATGTTGTCCAATTTACTGAAAGGGCAGTTTTCTCAATGATAATAGATGGCTTAGGAGGTTTGCAGTAATATGGAGGTTGCATGTATGTAAAAACCTGTGATTTGCAATCCCCCATTAGTATCATTAGCATCACTAATCATGCAACAAATGAAACTAACTTGCTTAAATTGCTAGGGAGTCCAACCATGGTTACAACTAATGGATATTAATAAGAATCTCAATTTGCTATGGTAGAGTTTATATTGTGCTTATGAAGCACGTTTGTCTAGAACAGATAATTCAAGAAATTTCAGAAAGGAAAGTAGCATTTTTGGTCAAAGGTACTGAACCATAATACTGTACATTGTTCCTCAGGAAAACTTGAGTATAATCCATAACGTTCTCAGTCATGTTCTGCTTGTAGCTGGACATGTATCTGATGTTTCCAAGGAACCCAACCACACTGCCCTAACACCCACACCCACCCTCTCCCTTCTTTTGCTGTGAAGGAAGGCTCCCCTCAAGTATTTCACCAAATAAGGAATATTTACAGTAACTTTTAAAATGCAAAACACAAGGCAAAAACCACAATACAGGTATGATAACGTGATATACTTTCCCATGAGTTATACATCTCAAATGGCAGACAATATTTGCACCAAAAGTCAACAACTTGACAATATGCTAATAATGTTTTCATGTCACACAATATACATAAAATAGAAACATAATTCTTTTTTCTCATATAGAAGATAGTTTTAACAGGTACTATATCACAATGAACCTCGTTTTTAATCCAAGAATCAAAAACATATCACCTCGTAAAGTGGTCATAGTTAAAAGGAAAAGGCTTTATGACCCTCAATGGCAGGTATTAATCGGTAGGGTTTCTATGAAAAAAAGACCATGAGATGCTTGTTCTTAACACTGCACCCATCCAATTTCTGATTATTAAAGAATTATGTATCCATATATGCGCTAGAACCACTCGGAGGGACACTTCCTAATTCTGTCCCCACACTGGAATCCTCTGCTATTTCAAAAAATCATTCTTTTAAACAATATTGGTGTCTGAATACCAATATCTAGATTCTTCAATAGGGATGAACAACAAGCAATAGAATTTAGTAATAGAGAGAAATTCCGAGAAACAATCCTTAGACCAAGTAACCGGCATAAGAGAAGACCCGAGACCACCAGGGCAAAAGGCAAGCTCTTACCAGTCCCATCTTTGATCCCTGAAAACAGACAGTGGAAAAGAACAGTACCCTTCCCATCCCATCTGGGAAATGAACACAACCTCCAACCATTACCCTGTTGTAGGCTTCCATGAACCTTATAGACCTTATGTATATCCAATCGATTACAACCCTTCATCCTTCTGCAGTTAAACCCACAGTTTACCCCCGACTTACCCATTGTAACCATACACCATTATACGAGACAACCATACCAACCCTTTTGCAATCACCCCAAAAGGAGTCACCCCTAGTGTAACATGGACACTGACTCAAGTGTTGTGTCTACAAATGTCAAAGATGTCCAGTACTTTAGCCTAAAAAAACCAATACCGCTAGAAACACCCGTATCATTATTATTTATAAATAAATATTATATTCTTAGTATATATATAATTTTTATATCTATGCCACATAAGTAGTAGATTGGGAGGTGGTTGAGCAAGAGGACAATGGGCCAAAATGCTTGAGATCGAACCCTACCATAAGCCCATCATCCATATTTTTTAATTGTTTTCTATATGCCCAGGCATCATCAAGTGTCGAAACACCACACCAGCAAAAGGATGACGTCGCGGTAACACTGGTCACTACACAGAATGCTTATTTCAGACAAAGGCAACAAAGTAAACCCAAATCCCCTTGAAAAGCCAAATCAAGGAACCCCAAAACCTAAGACCACATACTCCAGGTTAGAGCACCCCAAGGGTTTGTGCATCCAAAGTGATGCTCAACAACTATGATGGTCTTACCTACATTAACAACAGTGACCATATTGTTAGAGAATTGGAGCAGCTTAGGTGGCACTACTTGGCAGCTAACACACCTAGAGATGCTGGAAGAAGGTGGAAGAAGATAAAAAAATGGACTAAAAGGTGATGGAAGAGCTAGAAATATCTTTTTTATTCTTGGGGGCAAGCTATATGCTCTGTGTTAGAAAGAGGAGATTCCATTTCAAAGGCGTGTCACTAAATCTCCAAAAATAAGGCCCTTATACATGCACATGGCAACCCACCCCATGCATGGAATTTTGAGGTCTTCAAGGAAATTGAACCCATGTGGGGCATTTATGAATATTCATTGGAGCTCATTCACAAAAGATGGGCTGGAAAATGCAGGGCTGTTGATTCAAACATCAACCCATTTGAAATCCCCATAAAACAGCTCATTAAGACAACGATAGAAGATAGCTTACACCTCGAGATAGAAGATAGCTCATACCAGTTTTTCTTGAAAACAAACCATAGTTACCCGAAGTGATTCAGAAACCAAATTGATTTTGAGATCGGAAGCGTGGAAACGCCGCAGGCTGAAAGATTCCTGTTTTTAGAATCGACATCACACAAAAGCAATCATAGGGGACGAGATTCCTATTTTTAGGCATTGAGATTCGACCAAAATAGAATTGAAATCCCTACATAAATAGAATCGAGATTCCTAGCTCTTTAGAATTGAGTTTCAAACTTAGTTGGAATCGACCAATATGGAATCAATATTCCTTCATTTGGGGAATCGAGATTCCGACACCTTTGGAATCGAGAGGGAACTAAGAGGAAAACAATACATGTCTCAATGTCATTTATTGACCAACATGCCATACATGCACATCTACACTATTTGTATTACATTATTTCTAACATTTGGAGCTGCAATCTACATTTGGAGTTGCAATCTACATTTGGAGTTGTAATCTCTCCATGGGATTAATACAATGCATACTTAACGAATTAAGAAGAGAACATGGACCACCACTTTGGTTTCTATTGCTCATTTCATGCCAAAAAAGATGACTACATCTTGTAGCTTGAGATTGAGTAGCTAGCTCGAGTAGTTTGATTCCTTGAAAACTTCTAAACTCACTGCTCAGAAAAAGGGGAAAAGAAAAAAAAAAATGACAGCTGGGGGGAGGAGAGTGTTAGAATTCTAGTAAATGTGGAAACCAGTGTTTCAAAAAACGCTACGCAGCACCTAAGCGGTCGGGGGGGTCCAGACCACCAGTAGAAAGAAAAATGTCTCTATAGTCCAATAATATAAGTATAATTGTATAATACATAAGAGTTAGGAACTTAGGGCACATCAAATGTATAATACACAAGTCCACATAGCACACACTCCTCCATACTCCATAAATCAAAATGTTTCACTAACTTTGATTGCTCAATCTCCTAACTTCCACGTCTAAGATGTTTCTAAGGACTCAAAATCTTATAAAAACCCTCTAATAGATTTATAAAACATCCAA